ATATGTTTTTCAATGCCTGATGTATAATAAACAGTCAGTTGCTACTACAGTCATTTTTAGTGATTTCACTGTTACAAAGACACAGTTTTGGTGATTTAGAAGCAGCAGGTACATGAGGGTTTATAGCTGTTAGTTCTATTTAGTTGGGGGCAATAACAACCTCAGCACATAAGAATTATGTCCTATTATCCTCTTTATTATTTTTAGTGGTGGGGTGGGGGATATAATGGTGTAGGTTTGCCAGTGAGACTGTATTTGTTACATATAAAATACACAGTGGAGAACACCAGTTGCTGATACAAATGTTTTCTATATCCTTTGGGGACACAGCTGGAATACAAGTCCTTGCCTCCCTTAGAGTTTGGTTAGAACATACAACAAGGCCCTCCTTCCCTCATTAGCTGGCTGTGAGTGGAAAAGAGGAACACTCGTAGTTACTCTGTGTTTCTAGAGGTGTTTAGGTATGAGAGTGAGACAGGGTGGGGATAAGGGACCAGAAGGCAGAATAGGCAACAATAACAATAATGAAAAAGGATGAGAACACATTAAAGTCAATTCTGTGTGTAGTACAGTCTATGAATATCTTCGGCGCAAGCAGGAGATTACCAGGTTTGCTTCTAAAGGATCATAAACCTCCAATAACTTTAAGAAAGACCCCATGCACTCATGATGAGACTTCTTAGAAGACAAAATTAAAAAAGGCATCCACATGAAAGTGCTCAGATGCCACATAAAGCAATGTCAGTGAAATTATGCCAAGTACTACAGTGCAAATTCTTTATTAAATCCACCCACAGAATAGGCCTTCATTGAAGAAACATCCCTGCCAGGAACACATTTTCCCCTTAGTTTTAAAAATCTTCCTTCTAAACGAACCCCATTAAAAACATGCCAGCATGATAAATGCTGTTTAAGTTGGAGGAGAGTTAGACACTGAGGACCCAAGCAAAGCAAATGACAGTGAAATCTGTGGTGACCCTTCTGGGTCAGCCTTCTAGGTCAGCGCATAGCATTTCTCCTTTGGTAGCTGTGCAGGGCATATGGCTGATCCAAAGCATTCCCACACAGCCATTCGATCGGTAGAGACACACACTGCCATTTCCACAGCCAACAATTCTGCTTTCCCCAAGATCACAGGGGAGCTGAGCCTTGTTGGAAACTGTCTCCAGATTCTACAACACACTGCTGTCCTCAAGGGCAGGGTGTGGTGCCCCAGAACAAAGGCCTGCTCAGATTCTGTTCGTCCCAGTCACAGATGCCTCGAAAGGCCCAGAGCACAGCTGAGTCAAACTTGTCCCACAAACTCCCCAGGCCTGGTATTCCTCCTTCATTCTGTATGAACTAGAGAGACGTGCCAACCTTAGAGGAGGTATTGGTGCTATCACATTTGTCAGATACCTCCTCTAAGGTTCGGCACCAGGCAGAACAGCTTCCCATGGATCTCTGTCAGTAAGGTATGGAAATCACTCTTCACTATTTATCTGTCCTGACGCTATCCACTCAGTAAACAAAGGTACTACGAGTAGAGGTTGACCCTTGAGCCCTTGATTAATGGCGTGTGCCACCACCGCCCGTCTCAAGGAAGACATTCTTCCGCCTCGACTGTTTAAAGATACCTGCATAGTTTATGTTTACTGGGGCATCAGTCACAGTAGCCAAGATATGAGACCAGTCTATAGCTCCATCAACAGATGAAAGGATAAAGGCAATGCGTCATAAACACACAAGAATAAAATGATGTCACCTGTAGGAAAATGGACTCAATTGGACGTCATCATGCTAAGTGACATAGCCAGATCCAAACAGATAAATACTACATTTTCTTTTAGATGCATTATCAATCTCTTTCTTCCCCTCTCTCACACACATAGGCATGGACACATGTGAAATGAGAAGAGGGACTGTTTGGGGGGAGAAATGAGGAAAAGGGAGGGCAATGGGGACAAATACGAACAAAGATGATGATTATGCAAGTATGAAGATATCATGATGAAACCCATTGGTTTATATGCTAAATAGCATATTTTATATGTAGGCCCACTATATGTAGACCACTATGTAGGTCCTGGGGATTTAACTCAGGTTGTTGGACCCATCTCACTGGCCCTTACAAAAACAATATTTCAAGGCTTTGATTGTTAAAATTTTGGACATTAAGGCTACAATACTCACTTCTTAGGTTTTTAAAATTTTTTTTTAGAAAAAAAAACCTACTTTATAGATAAAGGTACTTGAAAAGTATTTTAAGTCTCTGGTATATGATAGGGGGAAAAGGTTCATGTCATACATTATCCACCCCCGCTGCATATACATGTCTTTTTACATCCTCAGAGATGGCCTAATTTGTTACCTCAGAGTCCAAAGATGCCATTTGTAGTGGGAATGCCACTTCCAATTACACAGCATTATATAACATTCTAAACTATTTTAAAATTCACTAAAAGGATAAAAGAGGCTGTGAGCTCTATTCTGAGAGTCAATCTCATGGGGCTCTTGAAGGCTCTTTTACAGACCATTTGAAAAGATTAAAAGAATCCTACCTTGCCCAGTCAGTCAAAGACCCATTAAACATGAAAGAGACCTTCTGGCTATGGGCTCCCATCTCACCACAAAGTGTATGGCTGGCAATTTTATTTTCAACTTGTTTTCATGTTTATTGCCTCATTTTATTGGTGAACAATGAAGTATAGGAACCATATATAAAGATGGAAAGGGCCACCCTATTGCTCCTTTGGGAATGGTGACAGCCAAAATGATATTTGCCCTTTCCAAATGTTAAAGATAAAAATGACTAAGATGCTGAATGAGCAATGAATGAGACGGACAGAGCTACCATGGCAGATGGGACAGGGGTCCAGAGATTGAGAGAGTAAAATCGCAAAGAATAAATAGCAATAGGGATGAGAAAACCAGCACATAGTCAAACGTTCCAAAAGCTTTAGGATTCTCTGGGTAAGAGAAAGAAAAATATTATCTATGTATTTTGGATTAGTTTAATACAATGTCTCTGGGAAAATAAGGTATTTTCTCTGACTATATAACCAGCATGTGGAACCCAACCACTCAGGTTACAAGGTTCTCTTCTTAGGAATCAGCTGGCTGGGACAGGCATCTCTTAAATCAGTGTCTGTATCAATAAGGTTCACAAAATATCACTGTTCATAAATCCTAATGATAAAACCTCAACTTGAGCCGTGGAGGTTCTGTTCATATGGTATACATAGCTAAAATATACCCCTTCCAGAAAAATTCATTCAATTCGGAATGCTACTAATTGGCAGTAAAGCAGAATGAAGCAAAAGCATAAGTTGGGCAGAGAAAGCTGAGACTCATTCCTGTCTCGCCCTGTGTTCAGAAGCTGATCAACATCTGTGCAGAGAGGGCTATGAGTCTACACAGAGGCAAGGCAGGAACAACTTGGACAGCTTCAAACAGAGCTGATGGGGTGAAACTTGGATAGGAAAAACCACCTCTCCCTATCTGGTTTCTCTCATTCATATCTTATTTCTTCTCACCCAAATTTTATCAAGCAGCCTTGACAAAGGAACACAATGAATGATAGTTGAGTGACTCAAGGTCTCTCTCTTAGTAGATGATTTTTGATTTGGTGGAAAAGTTACTAAGAAAAATATAAGAAAGGAAAAAAGCGCAAACTAATAACAACTTTAATAATGTTAAATTTCCTGAGAAGTTGTAAAAACTGTTGGCAGTTTCACAGGTATTTCTTCTGAAGCACAAATGACGTCATGGTTGGAAGTTAGAAACTTTAGTTCATTTGGTACCACATATTGTCTTGGTTGAGCATCAGTTAGATTTCTGTTTTTACTGGGAGTGATGCCATAGCTGCTTTTAGGATATAGTGTCTGGGTCTGTCATCTGTGGAACTCAACACATGGCCATGTTTTTAATGTCTTTTCCTAAAGCTGTAAGCATGTGTGTACTTGGTGGCGAATGTGTTCTTCAACAAATACCCCACAGTATTCTGAAACACATTTTCGACTGAAAAGCTAAAACAGAAGCTGTGCAGGCGTGCACACCTGTAATTCTCAGACCTTGGGAGACTGAGGTAGGGGTTCAGCCCAGGAGCTCAAGGCCAGGGGGAAAAAACTAAGACAGGCTTTAGTTACTAGAAAGATGAAGATATATGGTACATTACTAGGGAGCAAAATGAGTAGCTTTGTAATACATAGAATTACCCTACAAGTATTAATATTTTTAAGATTGAGTTAGTATCTGAGCTCTACTTACCAGCTTTACCCCTGGAAACTGATCTATAACTCAGACAAATTAATAACTGGGTTTTCAGGGGAGATGATCTGGCACATAAGCTGAACTAAGTTCCCATTGAATAATTTATACAAAGAATTAATATGGTAGCCATTTATGCAAATTTATGGAAATTGTTCCCCCCATTTACTCCCTTTCCCCAAACACCAAGTAACAGAGTTCCCCCACCCCCAACAATGGCTTTAGGGAACCGCATATGGTCAGCTGGAGGTCTTTACCAATTCCAGCCTGCAGGCCCTACACTCCAGGGTACAGAACGCAAAGCCTCTCTGGGGGGTAGGATCCAGAGATCAGTAGTTTCAGAAATTTCTAGACATATACGCAGAGTTGCGGTTGTGGTCACAACAGTTGAGTTCAGAGACATCTAGAATCTACTCACTGAGAAGCTTGGGGTACCCTCCACCCCCATTATCATCTGCTCCGCTAGCTGAGAGGCACCCTGAGACCGCTGGTGTGGGATTTAGCAGAACCGTATGCTGGTGTCACCACCATTGCCCCTGGCATACAGTTGATTTGCTAAGCAACTCCTAACTACTCCATTGACCAGGTGACAGCATTGGGTTGCTCTTCATTTAAGAATTTGTTTTAGTATTCAACTCTGGCATCATCGAAGACATCACCCCCACCCCAAACAAAGCCCTTCGCTTTCCTCTATATTTTGCAGGCCCGTTTCTCCTGCGTGGCAAACTTAAAAGCCTGTAGAATCTGCTTACCTCCACAATGCTTTTTAGATCTTGCACGTAGGTCCTCTCTGTCTCCAGGATTTCCTGTACCACTCTATCCACATAAAGGAGCTTGGGGCTGCTGTCCGAGTCCGCAGTGGTTTGGGGTGTCCCAGGCTGCCTCTCGCTGACCCTGTCCATGTCTTGTGGCCCGGAAGGGTTGTCCCTCTGCAGCTCACTGCTGGGAAACGGCTGCGCTGGAACCAGCTCCAGCCTTATGGCCCCAGCTCCTTTATCCTGGTGAAATAAGCCCAAGTGGCTATTTGAAACCAAAGTCATTCTGCTGCCAAAGGAACCATGGCTGTCCCTGGAGGAGGCCGACGATGAGGTGGAGCCGAAGCTGATGGGTCGGTCACTGTCCGAAAGCTCCATGGTCTTTGGTTCTGGGGATGGGGAAGGTTCAGCTGTGGTCCTGGGATCGGGGACTTGAGTTACAGTTGATGGCACTTCAGATTGCAGCCGGTGATGTCCATCTGCTTCCATGGAAGAAAGATAGAAAAGACAAAAGGAAGGCCGGTGAGCACCCTCTGAACAGAAGGAGGAAAGGAGGTCAACGCCCACCCACCGCAGGTGCAGAGCATCATCGTAACGAGAGGCAGCAAGTTAGCTCAGAAAGGCAGGCTGAGACCGAGGAGGAGGCTGGGCGCAGCAGAGCAGCCTCTGAGCCAGCTGGAAATGCAGCCTCAGGCTCTGCCCCAGGTCTCCTGACCTTGATTCTGCAACCTTATGGATCACCAGAACCAGCCAGGATGCCCTCCACTGTGAGAAGCAGGACATCCACTGGAGGTTCTTTCCCAATGTGACCGACCACCTGAACTGCCTCACATATGCAGATGAGTCCAGATTCACTGACATAAAGCCTCAGCGGTCACCGCACAAGAACAGGCAACTTTCATCAATACCACGGGTGGCTCCTGTTCACTGTCCCCTTCGCTGAGAAAGGAGACTGATTTTACAGAATCCTGCAAAAGGTTGTTTTGGATTTTAAGTCTTCCATCGTAATCCTAAGCATGTTTAAGCAAGGGGCCTGGAGCATGGAGACTCGGTTTAAGTGACACTGACCAACGCACATTCCACTCACACACGGCATTGAAAATAGAATGGCGTGGGCTCTTCTAACAGCGGGGCACAAAAACCAAACTGAAATAGTAAGGCCCACATCCTACCTCAAACCAATCTTTCGCCTTAGTCTGTTCCTAAGGCCCATCTTAAAGACTGGCTCGCCAGGCCTGCACGATGGCTCAGCTGGTAAAGACACTCACTTTGGACCCCAGGATCCCAAGAGAGAGGGAGAGAGCTGACTCCTGCCAGCTGCCTCACATTTCCAGCCGGCCCAGAAGATGCCGTCAGTGTGCCTATGTGGTCTCTCACTGTACCTTTCTCTCTATCATGCCCATTCTCTCTCTCTCTCTCTCTCTCTCTCTCTCTCTCTCTCTCTCTCTCTCTCTCTCTCTCTCTCTCTCTCTCTCCGTCTCTCTTTCTGTCTCTCTCAAATAAATAAATAAATTTATGTCGTAGGAAATTTACCTGCCTAAGACAAACATGGCCGTTAAGTCACAATATCCAAGAGCTATTGGAGTAACTCCAGCAGTCCATACACCAAGTCATAAAACAACAGTTTAAAATTAGGAGCTAAACGATGAGAAAAATTAAGCACAGGTGGGTTGTTAGCATTTATGAGAAAGCACACGGCGAGACCATCTGCTGAGTGGAAAGGAGACAATATACGTGGTAGAAGAAAATTATCCTGAGTTCAGAAACGCCATACCTGAACTTAAACTCTCCAAAGTTATTCTTATGAGACACACAAGAATTCAAATCTTTTTAGTTGTCAAGGCAGGATAAGTACTCCACCCCCCCATAATAATGAGATTGTACCTTATGATAAGGGATTTAATTAATGATGAAATTGACTTTTTCTTGACAGGTCACCTCACTACCAAAATCCATGTTTATAGGTTTTGTTTGAAACAAGAGGGGGTGGATTATGTTGGAAATATTATAACAGATTTATTAAAAATATGCATTCATGGTCTGTCCCCTGACAAGACAAAGCTCTCTGTGTATCACTGGCTGTCCTAGAACTCACTCTGTACACCAGCCAGCCTTAAACTTGGAGATTCACTTGTCTCTGCCTCCTGAGTGCAAGGATTAGGCATGTGCCACCACCTATGGTCATTTTTTACAGGAATGTGATCTTATTTTGACTTTATAATAAACATACAAAAGTTGGTATCAATATTTTTAGACTGTAATTCCTTCAGATTCCCATCCTTTCCCTAGGCTATACGCACAGAAAATATTAGTGCTAATCTATGAAATAAGTTTTAAAATTGTGAATAGAACACTTTTGTTGACAACAAGGACCAGTAAATACACAGGAGACGAATACACTCAATAAGACCGCCACCACATGGTATGAGTTTGCTGTGAATTTTTAGAGCTTTTGAAATATGCTTTCTGCTTGCTCTATAACAACTTTATAGCCTATAAAACATGGATTGGTTTGTAGTTAAAATGCACTTGACCTAAAAAGCTTGATTCAGCTTGAGTGTGGCGAATATCCAAGAAGTGGCCATGCATTCAGACCTGCTTGTTGCAGAATGCACTTGCCAAAGGTCAGAACTGCTGTTAAGAAAATCTAGACTGTGATAGGCTGGGGAGATGGCTCAGTGGGCATAAGCACCACGCGTGTGAGGGTGTTAGTTCAAACCACTGAACCCAAACAAAGCTTGACATAGGGTGTGTGTGTGTGTGTGTGTGTGTGTGTGTGTGTGAAGCTCCTATAGCGAGTTGGAAGATAGAGGCAGAAGAGTCTCTGGAAGCTTGCAGGCCACATAGCCTGACCTGTGCAGACAGTCTCTCTCACACACACACACACACACACACACACACACACACACACACACACACACACAGAGAGAGAGAGAGAGAGAGAGAGAGAGAGAGAGAGAGAGAGAGAGAGAGAGTCAGGGAGTCAGGGAGTCAGGTTTCTTTCAGTGGCATCTACCATAATTGTGACCCTGATATTGGTCCTACTGTAGGGAATGGCCACTCTCTTGGGAAACAAGGATCCTTTAAGATCCCAAAGGTCCAACCAGGCTATGATTTAAGATCAACATAGATTAGATATGCTCATTACCCAAGGCCCAGACATCTGGAAAGGTCTAGATCAAACAATTTGACCACCACAGATGGAGACAGGCTGGTTTCTGGGGCAAGTCCCCACTTCCAGACTGGGCAAGTGTCAGTCCTCTCTCTGGTTTAGGGAATAGTCTGGCACTATATCAACAAGATGAGTGACTACAGACAGACCCATTTGTTTTCTCTATTTATTTTCACTCTAAGATGGAGAGACTGAGGTAGAAGAATTTAGTTATAGCGTCTAAGTTGTGCTGCTATAGATGGGGACATCTTTGGGGTATTGTTGAAGACAGGCAAACATGGAATGTTACAGAGAGTGAGGGTCACAGACGACCCCTTCTGGGTAGCTCATAAACAGAAACATGAGTGGGCACTGATCTGAGGATGCTTCTATACCAGGCCACTAGAGTTCCTTGGACCAGCCTGTTCTGAAACTGCCAGTTAGATAACTTATAAAACAGAATAGTGCAGATATTTGGTGTCTGTAGTATTCAGCCAAGCTTACTTGGCTAAATATCTTCCCAAACTGCCAAAGACAGGAATAAGACATTTAAAATCATATAATGGCACGAGATGTGAGGCTATCCCTGTTAATGAGTAACATTTTTTATGTTGACTCATGACTTAGAAGGTAATTACAGTTTTCTCATATAAGACAACATGCCTCATAAAAACGGTCTAGTCTTGCTCACCTCCCTCAAACTAATTGGAGATTTCTACTGTCTGAACTCTTCTTTCCAATGAAAATCCCCAATGATTAGTATTTATAAAATTGTGCTGCTCAACATAGTAGTCACTAGCTATATGGGACCACTGAGCACTGGAGATGGTCCAGAATTGAGGTGGGTGTAGAATATATGCTGGATTTAAATGACAATATGAGACAAAGTTATCAAATACTTCATTAATAATTTTACATTGACTCTCTGTAGAAATAGTACTTTAGAATAGTAAGATAGCTTTAATATCTTACTAAAATTTTGTATTTTGTTTTATCTTTTTAAATGTCACCACTAGCAAGTTTTAAACTCTATGTATAGCTTGTGTATTTTTTATTAAATAAAGCTTATATTGGGGCTGGAGCAATGACTCAGCTGTTAAAGGCTAGGCTCACAACCAAAACTAAAGCTTATATTAAGATCATCTAGATAACTACATTAATCTATAAATACAGGGGCCAGAGAGATGATGGTTCAGTAGTTAAGGGCACATACTGCTCTTGCAGAGGACCTGAGTTCGATTCCCAGCTTCCACATTGGGTAGCTCACAACCGCTTGTAACTTCAGCTCCAGGGGAAATATTGCCCTTTTCTGGCCACTGTGGGCACCTGTATACATGTACACATAACCTTCCACAGATACACAAGTACACATAATTTGAAATTATAATGATTAAAAGATTTAAATTTACCTGCTTATCTATTGTTATTTAAGTAACAGTGAATGGAATGATGTGTGAAACTTTTTTCTTCTTTATTATATTCATGCATGTAAACGATTGTTAGGAGTAAGGAGGAAGAGCGGGAGAGAGAACTGTTGTACAAAAATGGAATGAAATTAGAGCGACTAATTTTCCATGGCAAACTGAACCAGATAGAAAACTCAGCTAGGAGCCTGTTCTGTGTTGGATGAAAGATTAATGTTTGTATACTTTCCTTCCTAGAGCATCATTATCTTCCTAAATCCCAAGTTGAGGATGAAAATTGGAGCACTCCTTGCCAAACATTGGCTCACGGATCCTCACACGTGTTACCATTTCTACCGTGAAACTAGCTAGTTCCTCCCACATGGGGCTCACGGCCAGACTCACCTTTGGTGAGCCTGGAGGTAGTTGGGGATGAAGCACTTGCAAGGGTCCTGGAGGCTTCCTGATTCTGACAACTGGACGTACTGGCTAGCCATATCACACCTTCTGCGTCCTATTCTCAGTGAAAAGCCAGGGTCTCACACATTTTGCTCCCAGCGAGTCCTTGTAGGAGAAGCAATCCCATTCCTTGGCTTCTCTTTATTTGTCCTTTAAACTCCTGTTATTTTAATTTCTTTCTTTGGAAATGCCACCATCAGAATCAAGAGCACCGCTTGCTGCCTCTAACTCGCCTTGAGACAACTTTAATACACAAACTTCCCTGATTCCACGTCACCTGGCTTACACGTACAACGTGGGGACTTGGAGGTTCCCAGCCTACAATTCCCAAGGAGACAGCTATAAGGCAAGGCTGAGCCCCTTCCTGCCATGGCAGTAGAGCCCACCAATTTCTGCTCACTGCTAGTCTCAACATCCAGCACTCTACCCAGTTCCTTGGAAGAACTACTACCCAGATATCTCCACA